AAGCGGATTTCCCTGTACTTTAAACGGTGACTTTTATTTCCAAAAATTTTCAAACTTTCGCTTTATGTTATCGTAAAGCGAAAAGGAAGAAATTGTAAATTGGAAAGATTCACTTCGTGTTAGAATCCAAGAGATCATCTAGGTGAATAAACAGTTATGGGATAGAAAGGAGCTATCGCGACGAATTCCGAAAATTTTCACGAGGAAAATCTCGTCTTTCCCAAGAGAAACGAGGAAAACTTGATATAGTCTGACATGACGAAGACGCTTTTCTATCCAGTTTCATCGGCAAAACTGTCGAGATTCTTGATTGAAAGGATCGCAAGCATAAGAAAGATCGTAAGAAAAGATCTAAAAGCGAAACGAGTCCTCCCGAATATCTTCGATTTTCGATACTTGCGATATTCATCTTTCCTTACTTCCTTCCTTTCGTTTTATCTTTTTTTTTATTATCTCGTTCGGTGATAGTCGTTCTCGATTCTTGTGGCGTTCGTATTAAAATCTCATGTCTCCCGTAAAAGTTAATAGCACGAAATATTCGTGCAAGAATATTCATAGGGAAGAATTTTTCTTTTATATTTGAAAAAAAAGAAAAAGTGTGAAAAGAAAAGAAAAAGAAAAAGAAAAGGCAACGATCTCTCATTTCGTAGAGATTAAAACCGTTTCTCATGCTTAATCTTTGGTAGTAATCTCTATCCATCAAAATCAATCTATATCATTCGAGCGCTCTTAAGGACGAGTATTTTAGCTTGATAAGGGTTGTAATTCGATTCTCTGACAACTCGAAGGAAGGAAATCTCTTCCGGTAACTGATTCTAAGAGTAACGCTATCGTTCATCCCATTTATTTTCAAGGAAAGCTTCATCATTAACGTTACCTCATAAGCTGCGAGTGCATCGAGACCATTTCCAAGAGGATTTCAAGTTGATGCTTCGGTATTCTTCTCGAAGAAGATCCTCGATAATCCTTTCTGATGAATCTTCTATCGAAGAGAGTAACCTCTCGTTGGATCCAACTTGCCAAAGACGTTTCTAGACGCAACCTAGAAATTATCTTCCCGAGAGGAGATTCTTTTCTTTTTAGATGAGAAGAACGTTTAGCTCGACTCTGCTGATCGATCGTGCGAAAGAGATTTGTTAGACTTACTTGTGATCCGAGTAACGAACGAAGACACGAGTTTAGCAAAAGTATCATCGTTTGACGAGAGTAAGGTCGTCGTAGGAGTCGAACGTCCTCCTCGTTTTTCTTCCGTCGTTTCTGACAAATGAAACTTGGAAAAAAGTGATAGTACGTTCGAAGAAAGTTCGATGGATTACAAACCGTTAAAAAAGAAGCGTCTAAAAGAAACGTTTTGACGATAAATTTACATTAGATGAACCATGGAAAAGACACGAAAACTTTTCCTAGTTTCAATCTTTTTATCCTTAGTCTTTCGTCTTGTTTCTTTAACATTATTCAAGTAAATATCGTTTGAAACTTTATTTCGTGCAAATGAAAAGAAAATAAACTTCTTCTAATGAGAACCAATTCGATCCACTCGACGAAATTTGTACTTCCTCGGCTGGTCGATGCCAGAATCGCAGATTGACGTTGGCAGAAGGATACGGAGCGAATGATTCAACTTGGCTTTTTCAAAAAAGAAGAAACGACTAGGTTCCCGTCCAAGTCGACTGACGTGCTATCAAACATTGATGTCTCCGACATCAAGTAGACAACGCTCCTCAATTCGAAAGAAGAATTCAAGTTTTACTGAAAGATGTTGGCAAAGGGTCTTTTATTTATATATATATATATATATATATATATATATATATATATAATATGTATATAATATATATATAATATATATATATATATGACTATGTATCACACGTAAACCATGTAAATATATGTTCACAAACCTTTTGCATTTGATCGTAAAGCTAAAGTGTAAATGAACAGTTTAAAAATATCTTTTGAAGAATTTCTTTGAAGAATAAATTGATCGTAGAATAATATTGAACATTAGTTAGATAGGTGCAAGTTTAAGACATCGTTCAAAAGCAGACGGTCTCTACGGGTAGGTTTCAATGGAGGAGAGTCTCTCTGGCAAGGAAAGTAAATGTTGAGCCCGGCATTGCTCGGCATTGCGAACTCTCTGCAGGATCGAACGAGCACTCCGCTATTGTTGCCGGTTAATTAAGGGAATTGCTGAAAGATTAAGGAGCTGCCTCTTCTTATAATCCGTACTCCAAACTTCCTCCTTTTCTACTTTAAGACCAACTGCTTTTATCCTATCTATTTACTCTATGTTTCTCTTTCTCTCTTTCTATATTTTTCTTTCATTCCATTATTTTCGATCGGTGAGTTCATTGTATTGTGTAACTATCGAGAATATAAGGTATCTCTTTCTAATTGTTTATGTACTAAAATCTTTTTGAGAGAAAAGAAACAATAATTTTTCACGATGTAACAGAATCAGAAACAAATTCAAGATAAATATTAAATCAATAACGAAACACTCTGATGGTCCCACTATGTAATTGCGGCAAACCATAAAGAGAGTGACGAAGGACGAGCTGACCGTTAACCGCAAGAATCCTCTGTACACAGGACTGGTCACTCGTCGGAGCTAGAGTTAGGGTCCTTTAGCTAATTGCTTTCGCATGAGCGAGCGATTTAGTTTCACGATCGAACCCTTTCAGCCATTATCTTCGTCAACGGTCATTCGTCGAAACCACAATAATGGGGGCATTGATCAACCGAACTATAACGGACATCTAGAAAGGACATTGCTATTTTGCCCAATCGAATAAACAGAAGAGGAACGAAATTATTTGAGAAATGAATGACGAAATTCAGCAAATGATTTTTTCGTTTAAATTTATGACTTTAATTCCTTCCTTATTTCTTATCTTGTTTATAGAAATTTCATTTTTTATTCTTATTTGTTGCAAGGAGGAAATTTAAAAAAGCACATATAGTGCAAACTCAACGATAAACTCAGGTTAATGTCAAAAGTATCTTTTAGTTCTAAAAATTTTTAATTCTTATAATCTCAATAAATCGAAACAAATCACATAGAAAATCTTGTAGAAATAACGAACACTTCGTGAGAATAAAATTGTCTAATATTGATTTAAATAAGACGTTTTTATAAACGAGAAATTTCGACTCTGTATCTGGATAACTCCCGACTTATAACCATTAGCGAGTAAAGGATTAGTAACTAGACTAAAGCCTATACTATGCTAGTAGAAGTTCTAGGCCCAAGTTTACTCGATCGATAAGCGATAACCGTGGAAGGCGATGCGCGTAGCACTCGGATACGTTGTCGAATTATCTCAATTAACGTCGTTAGCCGACCGACGCGAACCGACGAATCCGACAACAGCCAGCTGCACCAAATTGCACTCTGCTGTAACGAGGCGCAAACACGAAAGCGTCGTCGCGCGACAACGACGAATTAATGCACGTTCAAGACCGCGGCATACTTAATCGACCGTATATACTATTCTCCTTTAGCTAGCACAAAGGCCTTCACGTTGCGCTAATAAATATTACTACTTTCAACATGATCGTAGAACATTAATGAAGCGAAACTCTACAGACGTTTGCGATCTAATCGCACTTTCGTTGTTATTATATATTACGAGTAAATATAACTTTAAATTGTTTATATTTAAAGACGATAATTCATCGCTCATTCTTATAATTATCTAATATTACGAAAAAGGAAATCGATAACTGTCAATTCCAATTTTATCTATTTTAATTTTATTTTCAACGTAGATAGTACATATATAGATTATACTTAATAATTGTAATCAAAATGATATAAAGTTAATTTTTATTTTATAATCGTTTATACAGACAAAAAGATCAATTAAATAATCGAATGAATATATTGAATCATAAAATTCTTAAAGATAATGATACTTTATTTTTATTAACTTTTTTAATAGAACGTAAACAGATAGAGTATAGACGGATAATTAAAAGAAAAAAATTCAATAAAATGAGTTGTCATAAAAATGTTAAGAGTAATAATCGAGATAATTAGGCAGAAAATCTTTCATTTTCTTCATTGTATCGTTTTATCGGTAAGGTGATCATCGAGACGGTGCAAAGTTTTACGAGCGGAGCTAGCATAATTTTCTCGATATAACGAAAGCTCTTGAGAACCATAAGATTTGAAGTTCTTCCTTCTACGAGCGACGAAGAATCATCGACTCGTCCGAAGTTTCGTTGGCTCTCGAAGTTTATCGAGTTTTATCCAGCAGAGCGCACTCTGATTCGAATGTCACGTGGAACCGGATGCAACAGCTTGCCGCGCACAGTTGGACCGGCTGCGCTTCCGATTTAATATGATTCCTGGACCGTGAATAAATATTTCATCACAGCCAAGTTATTTCACACTTCGTTCGTCTTCTTTATCCCGATATCTCTTTCTCTCTCTTTTTCTCTCTTTCTTTGTTTCTTTGTTTCATTTACATTTTCGATCTTTTCGAAGGTAGGAGAAACTAAAGAATAAAATTCGACAATCACTCATAATTTTGTTAAAATTTCCATACAAAATGTCGAGCCATTTTCGAGTAAGAATTTTTTTGTCAAATGAATTATCCAACGAGAATAAGTCAGGGTATACATTTTGTATCAGATATACGGTATCTATATATACATATGTATTCCTATATATACATACACACATGCACACACGTAGGTATCGTATGTTCTCGAAGACAAACAGAGAACGCGTCTCAAGGGAATCTCGATGTACGAAATTCAATGACCTATATATATCCTGACATCCATTTTCCGTACAATGCTATTCTCTGCTATGGAATGCTCGCTCTCTCGTATTGACTTAGTGTATCGATATCTATGATCGCTAGCTGCTAACGTCGCCTTAGAGTCTGAAAAGTTGCCACAAGTTCGCTTTAACTTTCTATCTATCGTATTATCGGAAACGCGACTATTATCGGATTAGTTCGATCTGACGTACCATTTTCTTTTCGCAGAACGAGAACAGAGCATTGCGATTGAAGGAACCCGCATCCTTGGCCCTATCCGCTGGAAATGCCGGTGGTTACATGGACCCAGATGGTACTGCCATTGCGATGTCGTCCGAACTACAGCCTGCTCCTACACCCGATCCAAGAGTCACTTGGAATTACTTCGACGAGCAAGGGTAAGAGAAAAGTTTTCGCTTAATGTTTCGAATTTATGTGTACGAGCAAAAAATTCGAGTATTTTCGTGATCAGAAAATCAACAGTACGAGCGAACTCATATCAATGAATCAATGGTGATCAAGAATATAAGATCCATGAAAATGGTATGAAAAACATTTCTAAACATTTGTATATATTTTCTTTTCTACAATATAAGTATTTTTTTACGCAATTTATTCACATGAAAATTAGTTGCATGAAAAAGAGTGAATGAGTGAGTGAGTGAGTGAGTGAGTGAGTGAGTGAATGAGTGAGTGAGTGAGTGAGTGAGTGAGAGAGTGAGAGAGAGAGAGAGAGAGAGAGAGAGAGAGAGAGAGAGAGAGAGAGAGAAAGCACTTCCATTTTACACAAGTAGACACTCATGTACAAGTTGACTGAATGACCTGGATAGCTTAATGGTTAGGGTAACTGTCCAAAAAGTAAATTTAAGTCCCGGTCTAACACCAATGGTACAACTTTTTTCACGAATTCTACATATATAATTAATATAAATCGAGGTAAATGTAGAATCTCACACGAGCAAAATAGATGGAACTCCAGATAACATTCGAAAATACCAACCGAAACTGTCGCAATTTAGTTCAGGAGCAACACAATTTTTTCTCCATGAAATACATCGACAACATTAGCATACTAAAAACTCACGGGAGATACGCGATATTAATACAACAGTTGCAAAAGGACGTTTACCGGCAAGTTTAATCCACAATAGAAATTATAAATTATGTACATTGCTGGTCGCCGTACCTATGTACGTAGGTTTATCTGATAAACGTTTCGTAAGTATAAACTATAATATTCGCTTTTTATCGTAGGTACGTTTCGCGAGGTGGTCTGCGAGCTGGTGAGGATCCATACGCAAGAAATAAATTCAATCAAGAAGCCTCCGATGGTCTTCCAAGTAATAGGGATATTCCTGATACTCGTAGTGCTATGTAAGTAATAATAACATGTAAATTTAATCGTATATATCGAAACGCTTACGTCATTTATTTAATCAATCGTTCGATCGATCGTGGACAAGTTCAGTTTGATTCGAAATTGCGTCAATGAAAAAACTCCCGAGAAATGATCAAATTATATCGTAAATAATAATGCAATTGGTCAAACTTAACGGCGAATCGATAAATAATCGATTGGATTCGGCGAACGAACGAAAAATAGGTACAATCATTATTATGAAGGAGAAAAGTGTAAAGAAAAAATCAATTGTGAAGTGTCGATCTATCAATCCTTTCATACACTATTACCAAAGCCTTCGCGAATCTTTCGGGAAACAGCATTCCTCACGTGTGATCGCCAAGATCGCAGCGTATCGTTGGGAATTCATGGAACCCCATGCCAAAGAGCGTTACATCGAAGCCGCCAGAAAGCAATGGCTTCGTCGAAGAAAAGCGGCAATGGCTCGTAAGAAATAGCTTCCAACGACCTCCGACCTAGTCATCGTTCAAGAAATCGATAGAAAGTACGTTTTCTCGGATGAATGAACTTCGATAAAATTGATTGACTAGTCTTATTTGTCTCGATAATTTAAGACGAGTAACTTCTCATTCTCAATTTAATTTGTATATTTTACGCGTATAAAGTAGTTCATTCAATTTGAGATCTAAACTAATTAAATAATCGAATATTTCTAAATTAAACATAATATTTTTTTAAGTTAAACATTATATATATATTCTTAAGGATGTATAAGGCAACGGTGGTACGAGACGAGTATGATATTTAGATCAAAGAACAAAATCGACCCAATCGTTGACGAAGATTATTTATATCTTTTGTAATCGAAATGTTTAAAAATATTGTATCAAATTTCATCAATTGTGATCTATCGTAATTAAATTTTTAGAACGTTAATAAAATAATTAAGAAATATAATAATCTAGAATTTGTTATACGCGTAAAAGATACTCTTCAATTTATCAATTTTCCAATGTTTCCGTTTTCCTTTGTATTTTAATACAGGAAGAGAGAAATAACGTTGTTCGTTATAAACGAACCCACGAGGCTCGCGGTGAAGTCGTATAAGTCAATTATTCAACAAGTGCAACGTCATATAGGAGAACACTCCATGCGTTGAATAAACTATTGCTTCTGTTTGTCTGCACGAATTACGGAAACAAATTTATGGAAAGCTAAAACTATGTAAGAGAGACAGACAGGAAGAGATATCACAGAATAAATCTGAAAACCGTATTACATTTTGTTTTTGCGAAATATTGACGAAATATTTCGTATGCATCTCATTACATGTGCACATTTTATTGAATATTTTTGATCGACAAGATTGTTGAGTCTAATACAAATACTTTCTTATTATTACATGATTGCAAAAAAAAAAATATATATATAAGTATAAATAAAGATATTGAATATTTGTTCTATTCGCGTTTAACGTACATACATACATTACGTATATACATACATACGTACGAACGTTTCCTACGTTATTCGGTTCTCTTCAAGCAACTTCCAATCGATACTATTTTGTCATTTTAAATGCTGCTTTATATTTAAGAATTCAAATAGAATCCTTGTCCTCGATTTTCCTTGACTTTCTCTATCGAAGTGTATAAGGGCTCTTCAGTCTTCTTCAGCATGATCTAATTTCCGACGTCATCTTACACGCTTGTCACATTCTCGACGAAACTATTTCTCTTAAGCTGTGGCAATCAACAAGTAAAGGAATTCCGTGTACGTTCGTGAGCCTATGACAAAAGCTTATCTCGAATGAGTTTTAATATGCGACCGGTGATCTCTCTCTTTCTCTCTCTCTCTTTCTTTTTACGATTATATGGAAAATGTTACGGAAACTTGAGTAAAAAAGAAAAAAGAAAAAAATAAGAAACTTATTATTAAAATTATTATACGACGAAGCACTTGCGCATATTTACTATAAATTATTGATTCGTAGTATATTCTAACGAGTTACAAACGTTTATGTTCTCATTTCAAAGAACATCATTAGTGTAACGTCTTTACCGCGATGAAAGAAGGTCGAAAATCGTGTCACGAGGTTGCTCGGTGTCTTTAGAGGCCGCGACAAAGGATGACATCTTCTGCAATGTACTTGGACCAATACAATAGGACCTTCCGACATCGCCGTTGTTGAATGAAAAGCTCGTGTTGTACTACTTGCATTGAGTTTCAAGGGAGCTGCGTGTACGTACACACGTAAGAAAATATCAAGGGAATCGAGCCTAAGTCGAACTACGAAAATCGATGTCGTATGAACAGAGCTTTGTATTATCATCATTATTTCTATATCGAGCTTGTCGAGATAAAACTCGATAAGACAATATCCGGCCCATACGACGAACGATTCTTTATCTCGATCATTTAGTAGACGTATTTTCTTTTTCTTTTTTTTTCTTCTTCTTCTTATCTTTTTCCCTCTTTTTTATACTTTCTTTCTTTCTTATCTTCTTCTTCTTCTTCATCCTCTTCTTCTTCCTCTTCGTCTTTTGCGTTTTATTCTTATTCTTCCACGACAAAACGTCAAGAGGTTCTTTCTAACTCGGCAACTCGTGACAACAATATTTTTATGACGTGTTCACGAAGATCAGCGAAGCTCTCTTTGTAGCAAAGTTTCGAGCTACCAGAGATAAGTCCGAGACGAAAATCCCCAACGTAAATTTGTGGAGGTACTTTTAAAACTTCGAGGTAGCATTATCGGGTGGAACTGCATTAAGATGAAACTTCCTCTCGAATGCCATCAGGTTTTAACTCGAAGATAAATATACATTATTTTCGGTCTTAATGTTAACGACAAATCCTTACGAATATAATTAAGTACCTTCGATATCTTTTTCGATATTTTTTTTTTTTTTTAAACGAACGTCCTGTCCGAATTGACCGCTCTTAGTCGGGTATAGCATTATGAATTTTTCCAAGAAAAAATTTCGACTAGTACATCGAATCGGTTTATAATGGTAAATCCTTTTGTGTGAAGGACAAGTTTTCTCTCCTTTCTGGCTCGCTGTTGATCCACCTTCACAATATCGCCAATCTCCAATGGCCAAACTCGAAGGGACGACCGGAAAGCTGTCCTCCGCAGTTTCTGTCACATTCAGACCGTATATCCCCCTATAATTGGACGATGCTCGTGGAACTCTTATCAGTTAATATTGCTCTTTCCATGGAGGAATTTAAAAAAAAGATAGAGGAAAGAAAAAAAAGAAAATCAATGAACAAGTTCGCTTCTCGAGATTCGAACTTTTGTTGGTGGAACAATGAAAGTAAGTTGGAAAGGATAGAGACGATTCAGAGCTAAATATCGAAGCGAATAGCTTAGAAAAGACGACGAAAAGTGCTCTCATTGACTCTCCTCGGTTTACTTCGATGAATGCAAACCTTTATGCTATTCTCGCTAAATACGTAACTTCGAATTGAATTAAGTTGAGCGTAGCGTAAGCTCTCGTAGCTTCTTTTATAATGAATCCAACTAGAGCAACGCTTCATTAGCCGAGCAAGCGATCGTCTTCTTAGTTGACTGAACTCTCGATAAAGCCGACCAATGAAACAAACGTTTAAACTCGGGGATCCTTCAAATCGGTAGGTAGTAGGCGATCCGTCGACTTCGTTTTCGCGCTCGAAAGCTCGCCAAAGTCGCTCCTTTCCGTTCATGTTCCTTTTCCGTAAAAGGTCTTTAATAAAAATAATCGAAAGAAAATCACGATTCCTTCGAACGAGACAACGAATAATGGATCCTCGAGGCGAAGAAGATAAAGTTTATTACCGTTAAGGACAGTTCCTCCTTTATGCTCCGAACGTCCTTTGCTTTGCTTCATTTCTATGACTTTTTTTTATCGTCCAACCTGCTGACGTGAACTTATGTCTTTTTGCTAAGTAACTATCCCGTCGTTCGCTTCTTTTTCTTTCTTTTCTTCGCTCCTCTTCTTATCTTCGAAACGCTCTTTAAAAGCCTTCTTGTAGAATTCGCTTTAAAACTCAGTTCATCTCGATAAACAAGAGTGACGATAAACAAACGCTTTGCTACTTTGCAGAATGTCTTTAATATACAGCTATTAGATCAGTTCGTTTTACGTATAAAACTGCGTATTCAATTAAAACCAATTCGAACCTTCATTTACATTAACGAACTATCTACGATACTCTTAAAGTTTTTAATCGTTCATCGACATTATTTGAATGAATTTACCGTGAGCGAAAACCGAAGGAATAAATCGTGCGTACAAAAGAACGAAGGGATACAGTTTCGAAGGATTTTAATTGAAAAGTACGGTTAATTAGAGAGATTTCCTTGTATAATTCGAGAACTTGCAACTTGAACAAAAAATAAATGCGATAGAGCTTAGTAATGTTCTTAACATCGAACGAGAAGATCTGTAACATTCATTTGGAACGTGAGAAGTACTCACATAGAAAGTTCACTCGACAACTTTCCTCCTTTGGACAAAGCTCGGTCGAGAGATAAGATAAACGAAAAGACGATCCTGACGAGTAGACCCCTTTCTTCTTCTCTTCTCCTTTATTTTCTCACTGGTACACCTAGATACTAGAAGAATTGAGTCTCTGTTTAGATGTGCTCGAGGGAGATTAAAAAAATGCTAAGAGTCGAGTACCTTCAATGGATGAACAAAAAGAAAAGGGAAAAAACCGAAAAGAACAAAAAAGGAAAGAAGAAGAAAAACTGACACTATCCAATATGTTCGGCCATCTTGTCGAATAAAGCATTTGCAAAAAAAATCTTGCAACATTTTGCCGGAGGGAGAAATATTACTATGTATTTTTTCAAGAGTCGAAGAGAGAGAGAGAGAGAGAGAGAGAGAGAGACAGAGAGAGAGAGAGAGAGAGAGACAGAGAGAGAGAGAGAGAGACAGAGAGAGAGAGAGACAGAGAGAGAGAGAGAGAGGTACTTCCAAAGTCTCTTTCAACGATATCTCTCACGCTTTTCATCTTTACGTAGAGATGA